TGTGCTGTATGTGAGGTCTGATTCCAGGCAACATTTTGGTTGTCTGAACCCGGGGGATCGATTGGTGAATGTACTGTGGTAGCCTCTGCAAATCTTGGTGTCCTTGGTGGTTTCAGTGAGGATGTGGTCGTAAATGATCCATCGGTTGACGATGATCGTGAGGGTGTTAAATTGAGGGCGGCAGGCCGCCTCCTCTCATCTCTCGGGGCCATGATGTAGCCGTGTATGTAGGTAATCCAGTAATGAAAAAAGAACAACCACTCGAGCCTGCGAGTCAATTGTCCGGAAAATATTAAGATACGCTCCCACGAACTACCTAATGTTTACTTATTGAGATATGGTTCGAAGCAAGAAGCAATCAGGGAAAGAAACAGAATTAGGAGACCAGCTATCGAAAGAAGGGAAAATACGGTAGGTACTCGAGGCCGGGCACGGAAGGGCGGTATAGGCTGCTTTTGAATAAGCGCCATGTTTTCGACTGTACAAGTCCATTCGTCCTCACTGAGGTTGCATGGACGGCTAGTGGAGACGACACCTGCGCAACATGCAAAGTGATCGCTCGTACCCAGCTCGAAGGAATGCATTTGATAGGGCGGTTATAAAACTCTGCCTGCTGATTCCGTACGGATCCCTACACCTAGGTGGCAATACCGGGTTGGTATTAGGTAGTCATAGGCGTCCTCAATAAGTAAACGAGTCTTTTGTAGTTAGGCGCCGTGGGTAACATACTAATTCCTACATCACGGCCCGCCGGAATACAGTAAGTTGCAGAAGACGCCAGCAACAGCGGGCTGGGAAACGGTAGGTAGTGTTGGAAATTTGAGACACAATTCATACTCAGCCCTCATCGTCGTTACCGTGTTGTGGCTATAAGTAGATACTCGACGACACCTTCGTGAACGTAGACAAGGCAGGCTATGGGCTGCTATCACGAGCAGGTACTAAGTAGGTAGTATACGGATCCGTAAGTAGGTAGGTAATACGTACACTAGGTAGGTAAGCAGACAGTCGTCGAGCGGAGAGTTGAGGAAACAGGTCGTGGTTGGACAATTAAGCTCCGATGCCAAGAGAACTGGCGCTTTGCCAGGATACCCTTGTCGAACATGTTGGCATCTCATAGGCTTAGACCGCCATGCAATTCTCCAATAAAAAGAGCTCGAAACATGATCCAGTTGCGGTGCTATTACCAGAGCGGTATGAAGCTGCACAGATGGCAAGTTTTATAGTGTACGTACACCTCTCTTACGGCCAAAATCCCGCAGGGATCTCCAATTGCGAAGTACATCATATTGCCCTCTTTGGGAAACAATATTCATAGGTAGGTAGGTATACGTAGGTAGGTACCTAGTCATGAATGCTAATTTCAGTTTGGACTCATGAAGGGTGAGGCTGCCTACCTGTACCTACCTAGGTATATCAACTTGGAGGATAAATCTGAGGCGAAGAAAAAACGATGATGCTCGTCCTGGTGGTTGTCTTGGCTCAGCGGCGGTGTTGACAGCATCTCACTAGGTACCTACCTACCTAGTTGGATCATTGATAATCGCTCCATGTTGCTGCATAAATTATAGACAGTGCCGAGCGATGCGCCACTCTGGGGTCCGAGAGGTTGTGCAACTGTTGGAGACTGCTTTTTTATTCAATGTTCTTTTCTTTCCTTCCCTCCTCCTTGTTTCTTTTTTTAGCATTTCACGAGAGGGGAAGTCGGCCATGAAGCAACCGACACACCCTACCTAAGTATGCCGAGAGTCCACGCTTTTAGATACCTACCCGGCCGATCGATCGTCTTATTTATATAATCAACATAGCACTCAATGCGAACTCCGACTTTCCGAGATGTTCTCCTGCTGCCGATCTAACGCAAGCACTTTCCCGCCTGGTGTCGAAAGTCTAACCCAACCCAGAACCGCGTCCCATACGGACGTACCTACTACTCATTAGCTAGGTAGGTATTAGTATGAATCAAGGTCTAGTCCTGCTTTCGCCTGAGATGAGAGATTGAGTACAGTAGGTACGACAGGCTGCCATGGTGAGATGAGGATGAAATCCCGAGCAATTTCGACGGAATAGAACCGTGAATAAGATGACTACCTCCCAAGAGAGCAGGCCAAGTCGTCCTCGGCGCTCTGGAAAATACAGATTCTGACTTTACTTTACTGCTTTCAGGTACGTTTCGGATTTGACTCAGACTGATCCCAACGACAGATGGAAAGGATGACTCTGTCGCATAGATCGTAGGTTAGTCACATTCGCTCGATCGCCACATACAGCGTGCCTGCTATGTAGATTCAACCTGAAGCTGGGACACTGGCTAACCCTCGGTAAGGGGCTGGCCACCCCCCGTCGACGGCAGAGACGACGTGAAATTACTGCACCGAGCCGAACAGAAAATGAAGGCACGTCTTAGCGATCTGGGAGGCAGCGCCAATCTCTCCCACCTTGCGATACTGTACATAGTATATTTGCAGTGGCAGAAATCAGTCGTCTACAGACCAGAAGCTCTCCCCCCTTTGCCAGCCCCCTCCCAACTCTATCGAGACCAGCAATTTTGGCAATGTAGCATGGCCATAACAGAGTCTCGCCACCAGCCCTGCGGGGCTAAGAATACTCTTAATGCCGCCCAGGTATAAATCCATGAATTTGCTCACGCGTAGATGTTGATGATGGAGGGTATGAAGATTTACATGCTTATCATTCGAGGGTTGGGTTCCCTGTCAGCCGCAGGCGCCTGTGCTGACTGCATCGAGAAAATGTGTATCATAGGGCGCATTCACTTATATGAAATATTGCATGATAGTTATGCATTGAAGCCCTTCTGCCGTCGGGCGATTGACCTACAGTGTAAGTACGTACCTCTTATGTGGTGCGCCGTTTGTTGTCTCATCTTGGTGGGTTTACAATGCTTGTGACGGCGGCGGCGGTGTTCATAAGCTGACTACCGCAGTCTGCTTCTATCTAAGTGTTATTGATCTATATCAGAGGCATAATAAGTAGACGAGAGAAAGTGTCTCTGATCGGTGCGAGCGCTGTGTCATACCTAGAATCAGAATCATGATATCTGGACTACTTAAGATACCGTAATCCCAGGTTGACCTTGCAGGAAGATGGTATGCGGTGGCAAAGGTAAGGTAGAAAGGGACTGTTAGGCTACGATAGGATTTAAGTCATATGAAAATAAGTTAATGTCGTGATCTGCATAACGGCAATCTATTATCACAAGATATCTGCTTACCCTGAATTGTGTATGCTTGAAGCCATTGGCATACAGTCACACCCTCTTAAAGGACGAAGAGACGGTATTTTTTTTCTCGGGCTTCTAACTCGTCCCGTCAGATTAGCTTCACCATGCCATATTTTTCCTTAGTCGAGATCCGAGGACTTACTCACATTTCGTGGACGCGAGACTCATGAGGTCCGTTCTTCCAGGGTTCTTCTACATACAAGCCACGATAAACTTGGCCAGCCGAGTGATGGGGTGGTCATTGGATTATTTTCCGAATGTACTATAAGTATGAGTAGCAAATAAGAGATAGTTCTGGATGTGAATGGTCGACAGAAACGTCACGCGTTCCAGCCCACCCGAGGATCATAGAACTCGCACATATTATGCCGCACATTGCTATATGGGAGTAAAAAGCGTCCTTTGTCTAGGGCGCATTTATGATATTGCGTTGCCAAGTACTTATATCACAGCGTGATTCGATTCGCGAAACAGAGACAGCATTGAGCCGGTTAGATGACACAAGTTGTAGATAAATAGTCCCTGGTCATAAGTCAACGACATGACGATGTCTCGCAAACAAAAATAGATAACACAAATAAAATGAACACGGCGAGGTATCAAGAAGTGACACTGGTGTTGATGCTGGCGCCTCACATGGACTTCTCCTTCGGCGCTTCAACTTCTTCATTCTCCGATTGACTGTCCAGGTCATGTTGTTGTGCAGTAGTAATCTTCTTCGTCGACCATCTTTCCATTTGATCTTCATCCCGGCGGAAGAGATAGAGGATCGAGAACACTGATCAGGCGCGTTCTATACCTCGAACGTAACACCTCGCGTGTGCGGATGGTGTCAATGTCTAGACTTTTGTTGAAATCCATATCCATGCTACCTGTAAATAAGAGTTGCTGTTTGAAATGGCGTACGGACGTATACAGATCTCAATCGTAGGGAAGTCGACTGCCATTCACACAAGGAATATGTATCAATATCGACTCGTTCGCCAGTGTTTGCTCTATAGGGTCTTGTATTCCGCAATTCTTGTAGTGTCACCACACCAAACAGAATATTCGTCGAGTGCCAAATGCACATTTATAAAATCAAGTGCACGCTGTGATGCGAGACCGCTGGACTAAGTATTTTAGGGCATTGCGATAAATCTTTGCCTTACACCAATTTGGTTGTATGTTCAGCATCGTAAATGCATCTCTTCGAATTGTTTAGCATATACAGAACACCTTACAATTTCCGTCCTATATTCTTGACGTATTGAGGACGGCCATCCCACTCTTGATCAAACTAGTTCATGGCAGCACTGGATCAAGGGCAACGACTGTATAAATACGTATGCCAGCGTTATGTGATGTCCATCCTCGTATCTTTTCAAGCAATGTCAACAAATAGCTTGATCATTTTCAGAAATGAATGTGGCGAAATTTGTAGCATTCAGATACTACCGTTCTGGTTAATGTCAGTCAAGAATGGGGATTCTTCAGTGAGCTAGCTGTCTGTTGATGTGAAAAGGTAGCAAATGACTTTGCATAGGGAAGCGCGCAGGAATTTTATACCCGGATCTCGAACTTGTAAATTATTATCCTCTAGCGCCTTGAAGCCGTTCTATGCGTGCCTATGAAATACCTACTTCGGACGTCTATCCTTGATGTTAGGTAAGGTGGGCAGATTGGTAAACAGGTAATGAGTTGTGCCTCCGATGAATTATGGTGCGCGCTCTTCGCCATAAGTGCAGCATCTGACTCGCAGACCCCAACCAAGTTAGTTGGCTTCGTGGCCCAATGGCAAGGCGTCTGACTACGATAAAGAACACCAAACCAATTGGGTTCTTCACAGTAATCAGGAGATTCTGGGTTCGACCCCCAGCGAGGTCATTTTTTTATCTGATTCCCAATCTATCCTTTTTGCGAGTCGACCCGATTTGTTTCTTCTTTCCACACTTCTGTGGTACCTATTTGTGAGCGAAGCCGGGCTGGCAAACTACCTTAATGAGTCATGTGATAGCAGTCTTGACCGCGAGAAAGACAGGTAGAGGTACCGCATTCTTAGTAAGTACAATTATGTATATGTATATATATAATATATATATATAGAATTATCAAGATCCGATATATGTATGGTTTTGTTGCCTTTGGAAATAGCATGTCGCCACGAATTTGACCATCGCACGACGGGTTGCTTGGGTTTCAGAGAACCCCAGGGGTATTGGAATCAAACTCTACACGACTGCAGATAGCTATCTCAACCCTGTTATGCATGAGTGTCTGGAGAATGAAGATGCCGATAGCGATTGGTGCATCATATGTAAAAATACATCAAGAACGTTAGGTAGAGTTGTTACCGAGTGCTTCGAATCTCCCGTGTATATCTCATATTAAGTCGTCAATATACCATGTATACTGCATCACTTTCTCGTCTTCCGGGCGTGCTTCACGAGATTTTCTATGACACCTTCAAACGCCTCTCGGTCGCCGATTTTCTCGTCGGTGCGTTCCTTCCAAAATTCGTGCACTTCATTTGCCAGTATTTCCAGTTCCTTTAACTTGTTCACGTGCTGCTGAAGTTCGATGTCGGTCATTCCTCTTAGAGCCTCCTCTGTCGTGGCGCACAACTGCTTTGCTGCAACCAGATCAAGCTCTGGGATTTGAAGAGGGACTTTGTGTTTTCTCGAGCCGGGCCTAGGTTTCTCCTTGCCTTGCGAATCAACCGAGACAGACGATTCATTAGCGTCTGATTTTCGTAGTCGAGAAACAGATCGGGAGTCTGAGGTGCGAATTGAACCACTGGACGTGATCCGGCGAAGAGACGGTAGAACTAGCTTCTTTTGCTTTGATGCCGGTAGAATCTCGTCTAGATCTACTGGCACTCCAAGCGATACTAAGAAAAGCCTTCTGATGCGAGAACGAATCCAATCAGGAGGCTGAAGCGGCGGTGGCGCGGCTAATTGCGACCATAACGATGCGCTCCTAGGGTTGAAGAATATGGGATTGTCGATCGGGGGTGAGGGTAACGGAGGTATGTCGAGCACATTAGGAGGGTATAAGGCATCCAAGTAGGGCTCAGAGGCCTCCAAGATGTCTTCAGAATCTAGCCCGTCGAGATCTAATATTGGCTTTTGAGCACAGGGGGTCAGTATAGCTGTGATGAGGCTATCTAAGGAGGGTACTAAACACACAATGGAGGGAATAGAGACATGTGGCTGGCTTGCAAGCTGAGCATCCACAGATGCTTCAGCCTGTTGAAAGCCGTCATCAAAATCGCCAAAATCCGCTTCTTCGTTGCCCTCTTCGAATTCGTCAAAGTCGTCACCAAAATCGTCATCATTGTTATTCGTCTCCTGGTCTCGAAGACTCGTGATTGATCTAGCAGCTGATGATTTCCTTCGTCCTTGACTTGATGCGGACTTCAAGGCTTGGTTCTCGGCCGTGTCATCTACGAAGGTACAGTCAATCGCAGTGTAGCTGTTAAGAGGACTGGGTTGCCGTACCAGTGTCTTGTAAGTTGGCGTCTAGCGGAGCAGAAGTAAGATTGGCCTCTCCAGGGTCGCCAGGCTTCCGGATCATGTCTGGCGTGGCATCAGCTTGGCGCAAGTGCTCATGATTATGGTGAGTTGCTGAGTTGGGGACGTCGTCTGTTTCATCAACTACCGTTTTGGGAATGATAGTGCTTCCAGTTGCGCCGACGAGGTTGGTGGATGTGGATGCAGGCTGCTTATCCACTAGAATGGCGATTTCGTCTGGTGAGGCATCCACCGTTCGCTTGTCATAGGCCTCGGTACCAGGGACTTCGCCATAGGAAGGCTCATCATCTACTTTCTCGACTCTGGTCCTGGGGACGGGAGAAACTACCCGTGTGCAACTTTCGGGGGCCGACTGAGCATCGGAAAAGTGCTCGTCGGAATCAGAGGATTCTATGAAGACATGTGTTAGGCAGGAAGCGCAAAAAGCAACAAAGGGGGCGCTTACCCAAGTCATGTGCGCCGGGGTCCTCGGTCCCTGTTCTCTCAGGAGCCTCAAGACTCGAAGAGGGCCTGCGCTGGACAGACATGTCTAGAAGACGCACCAGCCGGAGAACAGGCCCAGTAATTCACACTTGCGATGAAGATTTGATGAACGGCTTTGGATGTAGGACAGATTGGATTGGACTTTTCAAGAATGGTACCACAAAGACGGTTGAGGGGTAGATGGTCTGAGCCAGGTGGTATCCAGGTATAAGTATCTGTTCGACTGGCAGGGAGAAGAGACAAAACGTCAAAGCACTTCGGTGAACGAAGAAGACGCAGACTCAAATGAAGACGCGAAAAGTGGCAGTCAAGATCAATTGAAGGTCTGTAATCATTATGAGCCCTGTAAGTACACTAGGTGGACTACCTACCTAACGGGTAAGCTTCATTTAAAATAGTTGCTCTGCTTCCTTGCAAATCATAGGGTTGGAGACATTGAACCGCTCGTAGATGAATGAAGCCGGAGCATTGCAACCCTGTAAATTGTGTACGGGACCTATCTGGATTCGTCTAGACCGCCCGAGCCAGCTCGTCTTACATAAGTTGAATGTCGGTACTTTTACAGTGCGTAAGAATAAGGTGCACTATAGCACTGTGTATTATGTGCCAACCTTACCTATATAGGTTAGAAACATTAGATAAGTACGAGTGAGGCAACTAAAGATAAGGTACGGATCCGTACGTACGGACTACTTTCCTTGCCTACCTACCTTATCTTACCTTTATGTACCTAGTGTACTTCGTACTTACGGACGTACGGACGTGCCTTAGGTAGGTGCCTAGTACATTAGGTACTTACGGACTAGGTACCTAGGTACTAGTACCTAGCCTGCCTACCTACCTATGTACATAATGTACCTAGGTATACGGAATACAATGTGGCTCAAGCCCCGCTACAGCCACATTTGCGACTGAGAATCAACGCGACAAACATAGGAAAGGTTACTGTTATCGTGCAAAAGTTAGTGGTTGTATTTTCCCAATCGCCAGAGTAACGGAGCTATTGTTATTGTGCAAACCAATATCTTTTCTCCAGTTTCCACCCACTTCTCAACCTTCCTACGTCCGTAATCTCTGCTTAAAACTGACTGTCCGCTTATATGTGCTCTATCTATTTTTTTTTTCAGCACGAAACAAGGCAAGATTCTTATCGAGTCCCCGGCTACCCAATCCCACTTTGCCAATTCTCTCGCGTTGGGAGTGGCGGCTTGGGGATATCTGCTAACTGAAGTACTACATTCCACCACATTCTTCACGGGAAGTCCACACCTTTCACTCCGAGCCGAATACATTCCTGCCGGACAACCAGAATCACAACATGTCCCTCAACACACCCAGCACTTCGGGGCAATCCAACACTCCAACAACCTCTACTGCGCCAGCTAGCGGTGGGCTGTTTGGATCATCGACAGCACCTGCGACCTCTGGTGGTCTATTTGGTAGCCAGCCGAAAAACGCGCCTTCATTCTCGTTCCCCAACACAGGTACCGCTGGCACCAGCGCCGGCGCCACTTCCTCACTCACTCCAGGCGGTAGTTTGTTTGGAGCTGCCGGTGCGAAGCCTGGCGAACAAAAATCACTATTTGGAACTTCGAGCAGCGCCACCCCTAGCTCTTCCACGCCGTTGTCCAGTGGTGGTACTGGAGCGGGTAGTAATATCTTTGGCGGCTCAACACTGACCTCTTCAAGCACTAATGCGTTTGGAAGCAAACCTGCCGCAACTTCGACGATAAGCAGTAATCTATTTGGTACCACGTCCTCAGCTCTGAATAGCACTGCAGCGAGCACGACGCCGACGACCACGGCGCCTACCAGCAATCTGTTCGGCCAAGATAAAACCGCTGCCAATACAACAAACGCTGCCAGCAAACCTGGCGGATTATTTGGAGCAGGCAGCGGCAGCGCTACTCCCAGTAGTCCATCTCTCTTTGGCGGTGCCAATCCGAACACGACGTCAGCGGCCCAGGCAACTCCTGCAAAGCCCACGTTATTTCTAAATTCTACAACACCGGCTGGCGCACCCCCATCGGATAGTTCCAAGCCGTCTAGTAACTTGGGTCTTTTTGGCAAATCTGCCACTCAGGGCGGTTCGTCCTTGTTTTCACCGGCTCAGCAGGGTGAAAAGAAGGAGAATCAAGCAAACAGTTTGTTAGGCAACCAGGCTAGCTCACAGTCAAATCCTGCAACCACCCAATCAACCACAGCAACGTCTGGCGCGCCGTCATTATTTTCCAATACTACATCGATGTTCCCCGCTACAAAGCCCACCGAATCTTCGTCTACATTTGGCGTGAAGACAGCGAACTCTGGCGCTACCGAAGGCGCCAGTGGCTCCTCGCTTTTTGGCCAACAGGCGCCATCTAAACCTGCCGAGACCGCCCCTTCAACTAAGCCGAGCTTGTTTGGGAATACAGCAGCCTCAACAACACCATCAGGAAGTGCTTCATTATTTAAAACTCCTGGTGCGGTCCAAATGTCCAGTACTTCGGCGCCCGCCCCGCCGGCAACACAGACTAGCTCACTCTTCTCAAATGTAAACAAGCCTGCGGCTGGCACGACCGCTACTGAGCCACAACAGCCCCAATCCAGTTCTTTGTTCTCGGGTCTTTCAAAGCCTGCTGCCAGCAGCGGCACTTCAGAAGCCGCAAAACCCACAAGTCTTTTCGGTACGGCGCCGACATCGACCCCGACTACAAGTACGACTACCGCCCCTAGCACCAACATGGCTGCTTCGAGTAGCGTTTCTGCCCCTGGTACCACGGCGGCCTCGACATCTGCTACCGCGCCCTCATCGGGTTCACTCCTGAATGCAGCCAAGGCCGCACCGTCTACGGAATCAACGGCGCCAAAACCTGCCGCAACCCAGGCCAC